GCCCCCACTCTTAGGTCCATATCTTTCGGTTTCTTTGCTTAATCTAATTTCACCCCGAGCGACGGAACCTATAGAGATTGTTTCATCTGATCGCCTTTCGAAACAGTTGGCTGTAGGAGGATAGCTTAAGGATTTGATATAAACCCTCTGAATAACTTAGATTCGCTGTCTTGGCAAGCATGGCGAACAGTGGTAGATAGTTGCACTACATAATTCAAACGGACAACCCTGAAGGGAAACGGCAAGAGTTGGGATGTTGGGATCATAAGGGCCTAAGTTTCTAACATTCCGTTCTTCCCTTGTGTCCGTATAAGGTAAAGGTATAAGGTAAGGCTATTCGAATGTTCCCTCTACTTAAAGAAGAAACAGCGTGGAAATTCTTAGCAGAGGATCGCCTTTAACGTCTCCGAACCTCTGTCCATCCCATGCACGGTCCATGCTCGGATTGTTTGGACTATACGCAAGCGTGGCTATTCTGGTCATCGCAGCTGCTAACAATTATCAACACGCTAAACTTCATTCGATAGGTCGAAACGATTATCGTGTCTCTGGGTGGACACTATTCTAACGTCAAATACAACGAATGCACCTTTGAGTCCTACGTGAAGATCCTAGTCTTACAGGCTGCATACGGCTTTCATTTCAACTCATGCCGTTTTGCCGTTTGCTACAACTTGCCTTGACGTGGTCCATCGGCTTGATGTCCATTTGCCTTTCCGACATTAATTATGCTTTCAGTCCCATCAGCCTTCTTAATACTCATGCAGTCCTGGGAGAGGTTATTGAATGTGTTTTACTCGACCCGAATTATCACTGATGAAAAATAAGAGCCGACGGACAGGGACATTTTACATTATGAGTGGCAGACTAGTGCATGTCCTAGTTTTTTAAAGGTTAAACACACCTGTGTGTTATCTCATTACGTGTGTGTGTACAAAAACGAACTTGCTCACTTCATACTTTGTTATTTAAATCTCAACAATAAAGTTTTCTAACATTTCTTCAAACTGCACTTCTTAAGTTCACGTCTTCTTTTCTTTAAACAGATTCGCCACTCTCCCAAAATTTTCCCCCGATTAATGACCTCCTCGCGTATGGAAAACTATCGTCCCTTTCGGAAAATGCCTGGTTCGCTGTTGCAATCAAGAACTGTTACAATCATGCGGTTGCCAAGGCATCAAAAAGCCACTGCCTGGATCCAATGACAGCGTCTATGGCATCGGCGATGGCTTAGAAGTCTTCCATTATGTCTATATAACCGTTTTATACAAATAAAAAGATTTGTTTCTATTTCTGCATTATTATCTTGGAGATATACGCTCAATTGGATTTTGTCCACATCTAACTGATGGATTTGTATGTCTTCGAAATGCTCTACTATACCAGTACGGTTCCCTGTTTCCGTCCATGCAGCGATGCCTTTTATTTTCTGACGGTCCATGGGTTAATTCATGTTGTAAGCCAGTCGGTTCTGTAGGCCTCGAAGTCTCCGATTTAGGTATTCAGACATTATTTTATTGTTTGAAATTTGGATGTCTTCGCCTTACTGACATTTAAAGTGTTTCATATGTGAGCACAGAGCAACAACAGTTCCAAACAGGCAGCACAGCTTTATTATTTGCTAGTATTTTAAAAATATAGTGGAAAGGTATCGAACTATCTAAAGGGATATGAAGTCTGTCAGGACACAAGTGTGCTTTCATGATTTTGCTAGTGCAGATAAAAATCTAGATTCTGTCAAAGCATGCATGATTCGTAGGTTGGAACCATATATTTGATGTTGATGAAAGCATCCTCACCACCATGTTTTTCAAAAAGCTGCAGAGTTTCACTGATTAAATCTCCAAGGTTTTCTCGCCTTTGCTGTCCGTAATCAATCGCGTCTCCGACATTTGTGTTCTTATTTTTGAAGAGGTTGAGAATTGGTAATAGTTGCCGGTAATATGGAACGAGGGCCTCACCAACAAGATCAGCAGAAATCACGAGATGTTGAAGGGCCTTAAGGACGGCACAAACGACTGCATGGTTTCTGGTATTTAAGGCTTTCTTAATTGGTATGATAAGCTGCGGAATGACTGGCAGAATCTTTTGGCCACCGTGCTCAAGCAGGTCATTAACACCCTGTCTGGCAAGAAAAGCATAGGGGTGTTCTTTTTCAGCCAGACCTTCGAAAAATAGTGGAAGGTAGTGATGATAGTCCAGCTTTTCAATTTCAATTTTCCAGGCGATTTTATTACGTTTTGTATCGAACTCGATCGCGATTGGGAAGTTGCCTTTTTCATAAAACATTCGGAAGTAGGTCGGCTCCTTCAAAGGCCGTTGTAAAAAAGCTTTCGTTGCTGGTGGGTGACCAACTTCTATCGGTCGTCTTAGAGAAACACATGAGAATGCCAACTCATTGTGATATTTTTGATCGCGGCACGAATTTGAAGGTGAAGTTTGTGGCGCCATCAGGTCGTGTGACAAAGATTTTCGAAGTAGCGCCACCCGTCGTTATGGAGATTGTACGTATAAAGTCCAATTTAGTACATTCAATTGAACTCGGGTGTTCGTATATAATTATGCTCCTTAAGATGTTATTATAGTAAAGAGCGGCCACTGGTGGCACTTTTATCAATTTTACAATAAATTTGGTGCGAGAATGAGTTGAGATACTTAATGTAGATGGAGGTGCTACCACCATTCTGAACAGAGTTGACTACATAAATAAGATGACTT